AGAGCTAAACAAGATCTCTTCGACTGCAGAGAGCAGGTGGGGTTTGTATATTGCATGAATATGGAAGATGAAATTGCAATTCCGAGTCTTGCATGAAGAGCCCCAGGAAGTCGATAGAAAAGCATTACACCACGAGCGACAACATATCTACTGACCTCGCTCCTGCTAGTGGCAGAGATACAGTTTCAATAAAGACAAGGAATATTGAAAATATCACAGTTACAGTGAACGTGACATGATATAAACTCTAATGGAAAGTGTGAATTTCAAATTGTAGGCTAAAAATATAGCTGAATTGTTTGCGTACGGCTATTTTGGCAAAAAAAAAAAATGACATTTGCGTAAAAATCATTTTGAATTTCCACAGCAGTGAATAACTAGCTGAGGCTGTGATCCTCTCTCCGGCATGGAGGGTCTTACGCGCTATGTCTTATGCAACACAAAATTCGACGAACACAAACCGGTGTGTCTGATCCAGTCACAGAATCAAGGAATTCCGAAAATCTCTGCTATCGCATTTACTGCAATTTTACAAAAATAAAATGAAAATACCTTCTGATTCTCTTATTGAAAATTCACATTCCGCGTATCACCATATAGTTATTGTTTTATTTGCGTGTGACGTTCGTGTTCGTGTACACTTAACCTGCTAATTAAAAACACAATAAAATAATTACTTTCCTACTGACACGCGATACAATGCGGAACAGGTACAGTGTTAGCATTCACTTCCTCTGCATTGCTGTTAGCGCAGTCCTAGCAAACCCCACTAAAGACATAGAAATATTTAGTGACGCAATGAGGGCGATTTATAGAACAAGAAGCAAATATACAAAACGCTTTGAAGCACAGTAAATGGAATTATACATGAAATTAAGTACGATTTCTTCATCAGGATTGATTTTATTAGTCGGTCCCAGCGATGGTTCCTTTGACTAAGTAATAATAAACAGTAAATGGCCCCAGAGTAGTTTCACGATACAAGCTAATCACAGATCTTTGCAATGTGTCAGCTTGTATTGCACTTGGCTGCTATCTGCTTGTACTTTCAGTTGACCAGAATTTACAGACCGTTTGTTGAACATTCTGTTTAATATGAGGATTTGGTTATGTATTTATATCCCTCCATTCCAGATTCCATCCCTCGGTCCAGTTGCATCTGGACAGGTTTAAATCCGGATTAGAGTCAGTCTAATTGCCAGTAATGAATAAAATAATTCAGAGATTGCATTTCAAAATCCACACGTTAATAAGTCTGGAGAATAATGTGTGTATTTTCCAGCTGAATGTCCCCATATAGCAGAAGGTTTTATTTATAATATCTGGATTGGGGGCATTTGGACTTTTTTTCCATATCTGATTCTCATTCTATATTGTGGTGGCTCACTTCGAGCTCCTGTGTTATAGCATATTCTTGGATATGATACATGAATTATTTATCTCAGCCGAATCCTGAGCAGTTTAACGTGATTTTACAAAGCAGAGATTTCATTGTGAAATGTAATGGGGCCACGGGAGATTTCATGTTCATCTCGCACAAAAGACAAGGAAAATGAAAGTGTTCAGAACATTTTGAAATCAGTGTCGCTGTAATCCGATCATACAATCCGAAAGAAGAGCGGTGGGGACATTATAAACAAATATAACACAGATCCAAAGCTGCGGGAAAACGATTGACAAGACCCCAAATATTTATAAAGAACAAATTGCATTTAGCAGTAATAAACACAGATAACATAGTCAGTAAGGAAATTCCATACACTATAAAATGGATCACAAATAAAAATTATGATCTAATTCATACGTGAATGCTTCATTTTTTTGCCTTTAATTTCCTGCCAAGTTTAGTCCTGATGCAAATCACTAGGGAACCATTCACTAAATGTGTGACGTGAAATGAGTGTTAATTGGTCAGATTTGCTTTTAAAGGAAATACTTAGAAATAATTAAAATAGAGCAATTCACGGCTCCATTTACACAGTCCGATGTAATAAAAAGTTGGCTTGTAGACGTCCGAGTATACTGTCCATTCTACAATCTGTCTCCGACGTTAATAATTTATCAAACCACTCTCCCCATGTAATATCTATGGAATCAATAAATCCATCCATCTCTTCCGTAATCAAGAGAGGATTCATAAAACAAAAACAAAAAAAAACCACAATAACCACCCAGTGGTATTAACCCCATGCACTGCCGACTTTAAGAGGATGGTTTGGCTTTGGTCTGGTAATTGCTGTAAAGCCAGACACGGTCACTGTCAGACGGGAGCTGAGTGAGCTGGAAGGCTGCGCTTCAAGACCGGTTTCAAGCCTTAATCTGATAGGAAATTGATCGCTGTTAGAAGCAGGAGTTGAGAGAGGTGTCAAGCGTGTCAGTGATGATCTGTAAGGACAAACGCTGTGTGGCACAGATATACATCTAACGGCTTATTACTCCGAGCAAATTAAATAACCAGTAGCGGTCCTGAGGCAACTGATTGACCCGCAGCGGCAACATAAAAAAACACTAACAAAAAAAATTTCAATTCTTCAATGTTTTCATATTTCATTTCAATAAGTAAATCTTGTTTTCAGTACACAAAACACTCAGGTGTTTATTAAAAAAAACACAAAAGCATTGGGATACAAACCTGCATTGCTTACGCTTTAGTATCTCGTCCCTAGATAGCTAGGTCCCCCCTCCTTTCCCCCGTGTGCAAACATAATAATAATAATAAAATAAAAATGTTTTACTCATTGCTCTTTGCTGCTTACCTCTCTGCCTCCCGCGATGTCATGGAGGAGCTCACCAGCCAATTGAAATGTTGGGCCAGAAAATCCCAGCTGGATACTGAGCTGAACATGTTATAAACTATTACGTTACAAAATGATTCCAGAGCAAATTCCAGAGCCTAACAAGTATTACTCGTCATAATAAAATATTATAAACCCCCACCCAGCTCGGCGTTAATAGTAACACCCAAATGTGGGACATTTAGGGAAAGCTGTGAATTTGGGGCCATGGTAGCTAGACTGAGATAAATAACGGATTGTGTTCCCAGAGAGGCTTTCAAAGGGTGACAAAGTCAATCTGAGGGCTAATCAAGCTGAGAGGAATATCTGCAGACTAAGTTGATGGGACTGTCAAAAGCAGAGCGGCGTTTGTGATGGGGTTAATGTGCAGAGTAAGACGTAGTACATGTAATTACAAACTCGTTAACGATCCACATCCTTCGCGGCTAATAAACTCAGAGACCCCAATGCAGGAACTGATTGACTAAACACCAAACAGTAATGAAAAGGAAACAGAACTGTATAAATTGGGCTGTAGACCCAGCTTGGGTATTCTTGTCTAAATTTCACAATTCACTACAGTTTAATGTTATGCAAATCCAGATTCACAGAGAGCAGGACTGCTTCGCCATCACTCACAGCCATTAAACAAACCCACAGAGTTAGAGCAATTTACTGATGTAAAGCTGGGATGCTGGGGGCAGTAAACAGCGAGTCACCCCGTCCAACACTCCAGCTCTATATCACCCAAGACACGAACCTACATGCCACTGCCAAAACAGCACTCCCTGCGCCAAAAGTGACCGGTTCAGAGAAAACAACAATAATCACAATAATAAAAATAGCTAGAAACGGTGCCAAGGCCTGACTACAATGCCGGACGCCTTCTGTGTATGCTCCGGCATATCACAAATGTTATGGCAGTATTTTTATAGATTATTTCTCCACCAGTGATCTCAGGTACCTTTAAATGACTCATAGTACAATCGGGGCTATATATCTGCGAGGCTTCTGCTTCCTTTCAGCGGTCACACTGTTGAAGAGATGCTAGTTTGCTTTGAGGCCTGGTGCATCCAGAGGCGTATAGAAGCAGCCGATCTCTGCTCCCAATGTGAGCTGCTGATTAGGCCCCCCCTTTGCACCGGAGGGTGTGATCCTGGTCTACACTTTGGAGGCTCGCCCGCTATACTGAGAACGCGCAGCACTATCGCTAGAAATGGGTAAAAGCTACAGCGTCACATAACATGGCAGACGCCGTGTGCTCCTGCGGAGAGAATTCTTATATATTATCGAAACTGAACAGGCTTTTCAGGCCTTTTTGGTGAAGCTGACTGCCCGAATATGACTCGCGGATCCGGATGACCTGACCAATAACTTAGCTCAGAGTCCACCGTCTAAGTTAAATGGAGGGCCGTGGATCTATTTCCTGAACAAGCTCAACCAGAGCGATGGCTACGAACAAGGTCGATATTAGAGACAACTGTGTGCAGTCCCTCAAAGTGCAGAAGTACTCTGAGATAAGGCTTTGATGCTCACTGGGACCGGGGGACTCTGCCAACATCAACAGGCATACACTACTCTATAACAAGATCCTGTGCCTACTTACCCATAGTATTATGCCCAACACGGACGTTTCCATTGCAGGACTTAGCTTGAGCCCCTACAAGGCCTCGGTTGATCTGAGCTCTGGCATCAAGCCTCATCATTACCTGTTGAACACCTGTTTTATTTTACTGCTACACTTTTATTTTGGAGCAGATCTCACGCCCCTCTTACGGTTCACTGTTCTCCTGATTTTAGGTACTCGCTTTCTGATTATATAAGTAGCATCCTAGGGGTGTTTCACCCTCTGTCCTGCTGTTAGTCCTCTAAATATATAAACTGTTCAATAATCTCTTCATCACCATATTTATTTTCACATGACCTACTGCCTAATGTATAAATACTTATCAGGAAACACACAAAAATACAAACAACATAGTGTGAACCGTAAACATTTATATATATGGTGAAGGAATGGGGTTGGAGTATTCTGTCACCATATATATATCTTCAATTCCTTCACCATATAAAAATCTTCAATTCCTTCACCATATATAAATCTTCAATTCCTTCACCATATATATATATATATATACACAAAAACAGAACAAATTCCTGCACTCCAACCAAACGGAAAAAAATGATACCTGGTGCTCTGGTCGCTATAGTTACATAACCCCCAAAAATACCGGCACTCTAGGAGTTTCCAATCTTAAATTTTCTTTTATTCCAAAAATGACGTTAACGTTTCAGCTCCCCGTGGAGCTTTCATCAGAGCTAAAACGTTGACGTCGTTTTTGGAATAAAAGAAAATTTAAGATTGGAAACTCCTAGAGTGCCGGTATTTTTTGGGGGTATATATATATATATATATATATCTTCAATTCCTACACAGGGCCGGCGTTACCTGTAAGGCGGACTAGGCAGCCGCCTAGGGCGCCCCTTGGGAGGGGGCGCCGCCAGGAGCGCCGGCCCCCCCCATGCTGCAGCCGCCCGAGTGCTCTGTAAAGAGCCTCGGGCGGCTGCAGCTTTTCCCGGGCGGTGCGTCCATGAGGGCGGACCGCACCGCCCGGGCGCAGCCTGAGGAGAGGCTGACAGGAGGGAAGCGCTGAGCGCTCCCTCCTGTCACTCCCTCTATGTAGCGTGGCCGAGCCCTGTATAGTCGGCGGGTACAGGGCGCAGCTGTCTCCTGTACCCGGCCGGACTAACAGGAAGTGCACACTGTGTGCACTTCCTGTTAGTCCGGCCGGGTACAGGAGACAGCTGCTCCCTGTACCCGCCGGCTATACAGGGCTCGGCCACGCTACTACAGAGGTAGGGGAGGGGGGAGAAGAAAAGGAGGGAGGGAGAAGGAGGGAGGGAGGAAAAGGAAACAGGGAGGGAGGGGGGAAAGAAAGAAACAGGGAGGGAGGGGGGGAGAAGGAAACAGGGAGGGAAGGGGGAAGAAGAAACAGGAGGGGAGGGAAGGGGAAGAAGGAAACAGGAGGGAGGGGAAAGAAACTGACAGGAGGGGGGGAGAAAGAAACAGGAGGGGAAGGGGAAGAAGAAACAGGGAGGGAGGGAAGGGGAAGAAGGAAACAGGGAGGGAGGGGAAAGAAACTGACAGGGGAGGGGGGAGAAAGAAACAGGGAGGGAAGGGGGAAGAAGAAACAGGGAGGGAGGGGGGAGAAGGAAACAGGGAGGGAAGGGGGAAGAAGAAACAGGGAGGGAGGGAAGGGGGAAGAAGGAAACAGGGAGGGAAGGGGGAGAAGGAAACAGGGAGGGAGGGGAAAGAAACTGACAGGGAGGGGGGGAGAAAAGAAACTGACAGGGGGGGGGGAGAAAGAAACTGACGGGGGAATTGACGGGGAGAGAGAAATTGACAGGGAGGGGGGAGTGACAGGGGAGGGAGGGGGAATGAGAGTAACAAGGGAGGGGGGGAGAAGAGAGTGACAAGGGAGGGGGGAGAGATTGACATCCATCACACACACACACACAATCACACACAATGCACCCCTTACACACAAAGACAATGAACCCCTTGCACACAGAAAAAACACACATTACACACACACACACACACACGCAATGCAACCCTTACACACAATGCATACCCTTACACACACAGAAACACACAATGCATTCCTTACACACACTCAATGCACCCCTTAAACACACTCAAAGCACCCCTTACAGACTCACACACTTCATCCCTTACATCCCTTACACATACAAACACAGATTCACACAATGCATTCCTTACACACAAATCAGGACATCCCCTACACACTCCACCCCCTGTGAACAAACTCATTGGTGGAACATGAAGGTGGACCCTGGGACCCAGACCTTGAGCTGTGTAAAGGGCCCCCAAAAAATGGAGCTGCTTCTCGTTCTCCCAGAACATTGATTTTTGTGACCACAGTTACAAACAGCCTCCAGAGATCCTGTTATACACCAGACCAGTGGAGCCAGACTGCAGCTAGAGCCCATCATCATCCTCATCTGCTTGTAAGTGGGTAATCTAGTATATTATTCGTGGCACTAATCTCTAATTTACCTCACATTAAAGAAACACTATAGTCCCCAGAACCACAGCAGCTTAATGTAGTGGTCCTGGTGTCTATAGCCTGTCCCTGCAGGCCTTTTAATGTAAACACAGCGGCACTGCAGCACTAGCGTTAGTTAACATGGCAGGTCATATGGGTGGGGCATTGTGATGTCACGGGGGGGGGGGGGGCGGCAAACTTTACTTTTGCCTAGGGCAGCAAAAATCCTTGCACCGGCCCTGACTATGTGTGTATGTGTGTTACATACATATCCAACCATACCCTTGACTTTGTCTTTTCTAGCCTTTCCTCTCTTTCTAACTTCTCTTACAAATTTTCCCTCTGTCTGACCACTATCTGTACTGTCCATGTGCCTCTCACTCAGCATCTTAAATCTAGCTAATCTTTGGCTATTAGAAACCGAACTGAACTGCAGCACTTTGCTTCCTTTCTCCTGTCCTCTCTCATCGTTCACCTGTCCCTCTGAAGCTACCTGATACTACAATTCTGTGTTGTCTATCATTCTAGACATGGCTGCACCAATTAAAGCTCACTCTCCAGGCGATAAAGAAAAAATCGGTCTGGGCACACAAGGGTCTTTACAAGCAGACTATTATTGGAAACGAAAAGGCATCATTTTGACTCAACAATGAGTCTTCATCAAGCCATCATCATCTAAGTATGAGCTATGCATTCAACCTTGGCACTGCAAGCTCACTTGCTATCTCCAACAATGTTTCTATACTGCAGAATGTTGTTAGAGAAAGTCTTGCACCACGCCTTACTTGTTATGTTACAAATTCATGCTATGTGTCAGGATTACAGTATGATCCAGCACGTAGAACTGTGTAACACAGAGGACTGATAGGTAACGTATACCGGAACTTAGAATGGCCGGACTAACGTACCAAAGAATAGTCAGGAATAGCCGAGGTCAAGGGAAACAGAAAGAGACACAACGATAAGGAAAAGCCAGGAGTCAGGGATGCCAGGAAACAGTGAAGTCAAAAACAATGCCAAAGTCAAATAACCAGAATAACCAGATGCAATAACGCGCTCTCGGACAACCATAAGGGAAACCACGACAGGGCACTGAGCAGGATGAGAACTGGGCCTAAATACACCTCCTTTAGATCTGATAGGCTGCAACCGGCCTTTGACCCCAAAGACAGTTACTAGATCTCCTTTGCATAATTGCTGCTCAGCATTAACCCTTCTGTGCATTTGGTTGCTGCTCGGCACAACTTTTCATGTGTGGACAGTAAATGCCATTAACTGCATTTTTATAAGCGGATGAATACGTGACACTATGTTCCTATATACCCTACTGTCTATGAACAAGAGGCCTCTAAACTTATTTTATACTCTCACCTGCCACCTGCATTCTGTTTCCCATCCCCTCACACCTTATCCAATGTATTTTCCCTACTCTGCACATGTATTTCTGACCTTTTTCTGTCAACTGGCGTCTTCCCATCTTCCCTTAAACAAGCTATGATTAATCTCATCCTAAAAAACATCTCTTTACTCTACTTCTCCTTCAAACTACCATCCCATATCACAACTCCCCTTTACTGCTAAGCTTTTTGAGAGGATTCTCAATACTTACTTTTACCTTGACCCTCTTCAGTCTGGCTTCTGCTCCCTCCATTCTTCTGATACTGCCTTTACCAAAGCGACTAATGACAAACACGTTTAATCTAAAGACCATTGTTCTTTCTTAATTCTCCTCAAGCTTTCTGCTGCCTCTGATGCAGCTAATCACTCTTTTCTTCTTTAGAACTTCCACAACTTTGGAGTCCATGACAATGTATATTCCTGGTTTTCATCCTATATTTCTGATCATTCATTTAGTGTTTCCTTTTCTGCCATATCCTGCCATTGTCAGACTCAGTTGCTGTATCTCTCCTGGTCATCTTTTATTCTCCATTTACTCTGCCTCTCTCGTTAACATTATTAACTCCTATTATTAATGACCTTTCCTCTCCTGACCTGTCTCCTGCACTCCTTGAACACAATATAAACTGCTTCTCTTCCATCCGTAACTGAATGTCTTCTGGTTTTTTAATAACTTTAAACTGTATATACCTTGAGGATGAGGACAGTCCTAGATAACATCTGTGTGCTGTGCTGGCTATACTCAGAACACATTTGTATATATTGCATAATGTAATAATTGGTGATATTGTCTAGGAGCTCAATATAAAATAGATAAACATATGTTAACAAATGCATACATCCCAATGTTGGGATGTATGCAAATTGTGACAGGTTGGCAGGCCTTAGAGATGATGCCCATAATGGGAGGTCCACTCAGAGGAGCTCTCCAACTGAAGGGGCCTGTCTGGCCGGCACCCAAACTGCAGGACATTGCATAGAGCATTGTTGACACACTCTCTGCACTCATACTGTGCTGGGCAAGGACAGTTCCCTGGTGTCCCCAGATTCAGTGATCCTAAAATAAGGACTGTTGGGGGGACTGCAAATGTATCACTATTCAATAGATCAACGACAACGCACTCCCTTGGTCCCAAGGGAGCTACCGGACCTGTAGTAGGCAAATACCCGCTCTGTAGTAGAAAGTAGACAATAGAACATCACTATCAATGAAATAGTGGCGTAATTGGAATTCAAACTCATTAGTCTGCTAGGGGCTAAACTGCAGTTTGTAAATACATCATAACTCATGATACATTTTGCAGTAGAAAGTAGACAATGGTGCAGGCGCTCAAGATGTAACCATAAACACAGGTTTACTGGAACAGTGTAAAAGCAATGTGTTGACCCAATGGGTCTTTATCAAGATGGAAACCTTCATTTATCTTTATACCTTGAGTGCCTAGAGCAGGCATAGGCAACCTTTGGCACTCCAGATGTTTTGGACTACACCTACCATGATGCTTTGGCTGCATTATGGGTTTAAGAGCATTATGGGGGATGTAGTCCAGAACATCTGGAGTGCCCAAGGTTACCTACCCCTGCCCTAGACCATTGTCTACTTTCTCCTGCAAAATGTATCATGTCTTAATTTTTTAGCTTTCCTAAATTATTAATGTGTTTCTAAACTGCAGTTAAGCCCCGGGCAGATTAAAGAGTTTGAAGGCGATTGATTACATGACTATCTTATTTATAGTGATGTTCTATTGTCTAGGTCTATGTACATTTGCAAACACATACTAAAGGCATGCTGGTAGAAATTAACAGAATGAAATGTTCCTCTCTTTGTCTGATAACACACATTTTCCCTGCCATTCCTGTCTTCAAGTCATTTTCTTGTAATGTTCTGTGATGTTGGTAGAAATTACTTAAATTCATCAA